GGCTCGCAAGGGTCCCATGATGGGCTCAGGAAACACTGATTAAAACAGCTTGTGAATCTGGACAGAATCCTGTGCTGCCCAAGCTGGCAGGCCCACTGAGCCACTTGGAGGCTCCCAGCTGCACCTGAGCCCCGAAGGCCTGGATCCTGTTTCCAACACCAAAGTTTGTTTACAGATGGAGCTCTCTGCTAGGAACCAAGGGGGATGCCAAGTTGGTTGGAAACTTCCAGAAAGGTAAACAGGCAAATGTATATACACAGTGTAAAATATATAGGATAACATAAATTATGTTATTTTAAAATTCTTTAACCCTCTAGCACATTAGCTAGTATGTCATTCTGGTGAAATTATTTGAGATAAATTGGGAATGTGTAAAATCATGTGCAGTACTTGTCTACTTCCAGTTACTATAATGTCACTCTCCACTATGTCTGTATTAAGGAAGTCTTACTTCACTTCAATTTATAATCTTTTAGATATGGAAGGTTATACTTTAACTCATCTTTTTTTTTTAATGGTGCTAGGGACTAAACCCAGGACTAGGAAAGGATTCTAACACTGAGCTATACCCTAGCCTCCAAGGCTGTATTCTATACTTGATATAAACACACAAAGGTAAAGGTCAGAGTGTTAATTACTGTAATAAAATACCCAAGGCAGGCTTCTCCTTTTCCTCCTCCTTTGTTTTTTGAGATAGAGTCTCACTATATAGTCAGGGGTGGCCTTGAACTTGCTATGTACCCTAACCTAGCCTTGAACTTGTCATCCTCCTGCCTTAGCCTTCCAAGTGCCGGGATTACAGGGGGTGCCACCATGCCTGGCTGACGCAGGCTTCCTTAGGAAGAAAAGATGTTTATTTTGGCTCGAAGTTCTGGAGGTGCAGTCTATGGCTCTCATCTGGTCACGGCCTTCTTGTTGGCAGAGTCTCAAGATGGCCCATATCATCACGTGGCATGAGATAGGCAACACTTGTGTATGTATTTCTTTCCTCTTCCTCATTCCTTTTTGCAGTACTAGGGTTACCAAGGCTTTGTGCACCCTGGGTAAGTGCCCTACCACTGAGCTACATCCTTGGCTCTTTTCAGTTTTTAATTTTGAGACAAAGTCTTGCTACATTGCTGTTTTGGCTTATAGATGTTCCCCTAAAGCCTCATGAGCTCATAGGTGGGGGGTTCGGGGAGATGACTGGATTGTGGATGTGTGACACTGGATTGTGGGTGTGTGATACTGGATCAGGCCACTGATGGGATAATAGCTGGATGTTGGAAGGTGAAGCCTGGTGGGAAGAGGTGGGTCACTGGTGGTGCAGCCTGGAAATATATATCAGTCCTACTCCCTTGATCCCTCTGCTTTTTGCTGCCGTGTCATGAACATTTCTCCTCTGTCATGTATCTCCCTCTGCCATGCCACCCTGCTTTGGAACCAGTAGACTATGGACTGACACCTCTATAAACTGTGAGTGAAAATAAACCTCGCCCCTTTAACCTGTGGGTGCTGGGTATTTTGTCCCAGTAACGAGAAAGTAACTGAGACAGTTGCCATGGCTGGGTTTGAATTCGTAATTCTCCTGCCTCAGTCTCCCAAGTAGCTGGGCTTACAGGTATGTTCCATCCGTACTACCCACTTCTTTCGTTCCCTCTTCTTATAAAGCTACAAAGATCCAGTCATGGGGGTTCTATTCTTATCTAATCTTAATCACCCCACAAAGTTTCTACTCACTTAAAACCTCACAAGCCAGGTGTACTTTTGTCTTGTTCTGTGGTCTGAATGTTGGGATGGTGTTCAGGTAGAATGTCAACTTGATTGCTTTTGGGATCCGGCCCAGGGAGGGTGGAGCACCCTCCTGTATGTCCCAGTGGGTCATGGAGGTGTGGCCTTGGGCTCTGTGTATGGTGCCTAGACCCTTCCTCTCTGGTGTTGCTCCCCTGCTCTGCTTCCTGGACCCCATGAACTGAGCAGCTTTGTTCCACCACGCCCCTCTGCTTTGATATTCCTGTCTTGGAGCCAGCCAACCACGACTGAATCCCCCCAAACATGAGCTAAATTAGATCTGTCCTCCTTTTGGTTGTATCAAGTATTGTGTCTCAGCAACAGGAAACCTGAGTAATACAGTTGGTGCCTCCCAAATCCATATGCTAGAACCCCATTCTCATTATAATGGCACGGAGAGGTGGGACCTTTCAGGAGATGATAAGGTCATTAGGCCCTGCCCTCACACATGGGGTCATCTCCTGAATAAAACACAGCAGAGGACCTGTCTTGCCCCTCTGCCACATGAAAGCCTGGCAAGTATGCCATGTACAGAGCAGAGAGTGAGCAGTCACCAAACACTGAGTCCACCAGTACCTTGACAGTGGGCTTCCAGGCTTCCAAAAAGGTAATAAATGGCTATTATTTATAAATTACCTAGTCTAAGGTACTTTGTTATAACAGCCCTAACACACTATGATATGCTGCTACTTAGCACATAGGTCTAATGTTAATATTCGATCTAAATGAAAGGCTGTGACAATCTTCTCTGATATTCTTCCCACAATAAGGAAAGCAATCTAAATGGTAAGAATGTATCTCTTCTTATGCAACTCAGAAATACCACTTAATTTCATTTTTGTCAATTTTTTTTTTTGGTACCAGGGATGGAACTCGGGACCTTGCGCTTGTAAGGCAGGCGGTGGAACCACTGAGTTAAATCCCCGGTCCCATTTTTGTAAATTTTTATTTTGCCCAGTTGAGCAGTGTGGGAAAAAGGCTATATTCTAACCACTTCAAATCACAGTCTGACTCCCACAGACACTAGAATACCAGATAACAGTAGCAAAGCCTCATTTCCTAGCTCCTGGAGAACCATGCCTCTGACTGCTATGGTTTCAGTGTCCGACAAGGTTTCTTGGGTTGAAATTTAATTCCTACTGAGAAATTTTTGTTTGTTTGTTTTTGAGACAGGGTCTCCCTATGTAGTGCTGGCTGGCTTTGAACTTGTGACAATCCTCCTGCCTCTGCCTCCCAAGTGCTGGGATTACAGAGTCCTGTGTTTTTGTTCAGTTATTCTAGATCATGGTTTCCATTCTCAGGGTGTTTCCTCATGGCCCAATACGGTGGCAGCAGCTCCTATCATCATAACTATTTTAGGCTATGGGAAGGAGGGGTGGCAGGAGAGCACCAGGGCACAAGGACACATGGCCTAGTTGGGTCATTTCCCTCAGATAGCCTTCCTGGAAGTCAAATACAACATAACACATTCTATTGGCCTGCATTTGGCTATATTGGCTTTCCTTAATTGTAAAGGAGTCCTTGGAAACAAACAGTCCTTCGCTGGGCACTATGTTGCTGTATATAAAATCAGGTTCTCTTCCTAATGGAGCAAGGGGTGAATGAACAGCAGGTGACAATGGACAGCCTCTGCTACAGAGTCCCTATGTATTCTTTTTTTGTTTTTGTACTGGGAATCAAACTCGGACCTTGGATATGGGGAAGAAAGAGAGGGTAGGTTGGGGTAGAGGACACAGTAAATATGATCAAGATGTGACAGGTATATGTGTCAGATTCCAAGCTGAATGTAAATACTGTGTATTGCAAACATGTACTAATAAAAAAAAGACTAATCTCACAATAAAATAACTAAAGAAATGTTAAACGACGTTATTAAAAACATGAAACAATTCTGATACTACTCTTTGCTTAATCCCAATGCTAGTTACTTTTGGGACATAGGACATCTGAGTAATAATCTCACTTGACTATGTAGAGTATAAGGATTTCAGGAAACTGCCAAGGAAAATTAAAAATAAGTCTATTCTAATTGCTCTTTGAAGAAAGTTGTTTTATACTTGTGATTCTTTTTTGTTTGTTTTTTGAGGCAGGGTCTCCCTTTGTAGTTCAGGCTGGCCCTGAACTCACTATGTAGCCCAGGCTGGCTTCGAACTCACAGCAATCCTCCTGACTCAGCCTCCCGAGTGCTAGGATTACAGGTGTGCACCACCACACCCGGCACTTGTGGTCCTTGATCTTGTAAAATCACACATACAGGGGAAAAGAAAGTTGACATCTCCCAGGAGCAGAGCAAATCTGATTAGATGTTCAGTGGCTAGAACATGTTTACTCATCCAGTGGTTATAATTAAAACAAGCGTGTTGGCCATACAGTGACATGAATTTACAACATACAGGGCTTCAGATTTGATCCCTGATATAAAAAAAAATGACCAAGGGCCGGGGATTTAGCTCAGTGGTTTTGCCACCTGCTGTACAAGCGCAGGGACCCGAGTTCGATCCCTGGTACCAAAACAACAACAACAACAACAAAAACCAACCAAAACCCTATCAATCTCCATCGATAAGCATAGACTTTTGAAAAATCAAATTTGATTATTATAACATATTATCATGTAACTAATTAGAGTCAAGTTTTCCCCCTCTTGAAAATCTGAAAAGTTGAAATTCACCAGACAGAATAACAAAGCATATGGGAAGGAAGTCACTAACAAGATAACTGGTGTGAATTTAGGAACCAATGAACTTAAAAAAAAAATGGCACCAAGCATGAGTAATACAGGGTAGAATCTGGACCTAGACAGGAAATCTGGGCTCAGAGTGGAGCATAAACAAGATGGGGTGGGGGATATGACAGAAAATATCAGGGGTATTAGAATTAAACAACTTCTACCTTCCCTATAGTACCATATATCTGGTTTTGAAGCACCCAAAGAATGTGTCAAGATTTAAACAACAGATCGGCCTGGGGATGTAGCTCAGTGGCTGAGAGCTTGACTAGCATGCCCAAAGGCCTTGGTTTGATTCCCCAGCACCTTTATTGAGATATAATGACATAATCACAAAATTCCACTGTAAGTGTACAGTTCAGTAATTTTTTAGTAAATTCAGAAAGCTGTGCAGCCGTCACCACAGTATAACCCATTTTTTCTGTTTTGTTTCTGGGTGGAGACCATTTATCTTTCTTGTACAAAGGTACATGGTGACTCAACAAAATCCTAGAGCACTTACCAAGGCTGCAAAGGTGACTCATTGAAAATGTGCAGGAAGCTGTTTTCCAAAATCCCCGGGGAGAAAGGTGGAGGGTGGGGAGGTACTAAGCCTTGGCTGTCAGTCAGGCCCTCCTCAGACTGCTCCGACTGCTGGAAATTGCTCACTTTATAGCCATGTGACCTCAGGAAAGTTGCTCAATACTGTTTCAGTTTACTCATCCGTAAGACGAAAGGACCGTACTTCACGGGGTTATGAAGAGTAAATAATATATGTAAGGGCTCTCCTAGTCCTGGCATACGGTAAATACTCGATCAAAACAACGCAGCCATTTTTATTTTATTTATTTATTTTTTTGGTACTGGGGATTGAGTTCGACCTGGCACTTGCGAGGCAGGTGGCAGAACCACTGAGCTAAATCCCCGGCCCAACGTAGCCATTTTTATATTTTTCACTGGATGACTATTAGAAAGTATTTCATAAACCAGACACAAAAGATGACATAATTCTACGGTCCAATTTATGTGAAATTCTAGAATAGAGGAACCTGTGACAGATCAATGGTTTCCAGGAAAAAGGGAAGGAAACGGACAGCAATGGGTCACAGGGAATCTTTTGTTTTGTAAACATTTGTCATAAAATTACTTAAACTTGGTCAACTTTATTGTACGTAAAATAAAGCTGGCCCTCGCCCACCCAAGCCCTAACAAGTTTTAAATTTTTTACTTCGATAGTTCTTTCACAGGTCAGAGCAGGAAACAATTTCTGAACAACCCACAAATATTTGTTGAGTGGAATGTTTGCACGATGCGGGGCGCGCTCCGGTCCCGGGGGTGCGGTCTCAGGAGCGGGTTCCAGTCTGGAAGAGAAAAGAGACGGGTGCAGGGCCGCCGCAGGAAGAACGCGGGCGAGAGGCGGGGGAGCTCTAGGTGGCACAAACTCCAGCACACCCAGAGGTGCGGTCCGGCGTTCGACGAGGATGTTCTCCACCTGGGCCCGAGCTGCCTCTGCCCGCCCTCTGAGACGTGGCGCCCGCCGGCTTCAGAGGCGGTCTTGGGCCTCGGTGTAGCCAGCTCCACTCCGGGAGTGTCGGCCCTCGGGAACCGCCGGAGCCCAAGCCATGCCGGCGGACACCCCGCCCAGCGAGTCAGCGCGCACAATGCGCGGGCCGGGCGGCGGGCGCGGAACGCTTATTGGCTGGCGCGGCAAGGCCGCCCGCGGAGGGCGGGGCGAGGTGGGGCGGAGCCTGCGGCGGGCGTGAGCCGAGGAAATGGAAGCTCCGCTGGCCGCCGGCGCCGGGGGCGTGGACAGTGCTCTCTCTGCTGCGCTCGGGCCCCGCCTGGGCCCCGACGGGCGCGCGGGGCCGCCCCTTTCCTCCTTCGCCCTGCTGGCCTGAGCCCGAGGAGTAGAAGTCGTCGCGTCCCAGTTCCCCGCGTGGCTTTTTGGTGGCGGCAGGAGGAGGAGGAACATGGCGCTCGTGGGCAACCAAGTGGACCTGGAAGCGGACGAGGTAGGGGCCTGGCGCGGGGGGGTCGGGGGGGGACGGACGCGGGGTCCCCCCCCGGGGCGGCTAGCGGGCGCGGACCTGAGTCCCACGCCGTTCCTCCGGTTCCGTGGACCCGTTCTGGCCCGGAACCGCGCCTTCCGTGGGAGTCTCCCTGTGGTGAGGAGGGGCCGCGGGAGGAAGCGGCCCGGGGGCAGGAGCGTCCTCTCGGTCCGGGGCTCCGCGGTCTGCTCCCGCTGCCGCGCCCGGGGCGGACCTGTTGCTTTGCCGACGGGTCCTCTCTGCGCTTGCCACTACGCGACCAGAGCCACTGTCACGGCGGCGGCCGCCGCTCTGCCGTCTCAACTGACGGATTCAGTCGCTGCTGCAGAAGACTTGGGTTTCAAGTGATGCAACAGTGCAGGATGTGGAGGAGGCGGGTTAGGATTCCGGTCCGTCTGTTTAATGCTAGGAGGCTCCTGATAACAAGCATTAATTGTACTTTAAACGTGGGGCTTAAAATAAAAACAAAACAAAAACCGAATTACAGCTCCCTTCTACGCCTGTCCCTTGCAGTAAGAACTCCAAGACCACAGACCAGCGAACTAGAGCTTGCTCAGATGCATCTGTGTATTGCTGAAACTTCTAAATTGCACGTACGGGCACACGATGAAATAGCATATTGTTGCTCTTTTCCTCTGTGACAATTTTTTTTTATAGCTGTAGGCTCTCTTTGGTGTGACCTGGGGCCAGCTGCTTTTCTTCGTTCTTCTTGTGGTCTTCCCTGTAATCAAGGTAATCGCCCTTTCCCAGTGCTTGTACATTCACCTTTTTACGGCTCCCTGTTGTATAGTATTAAAGATCCATGTTCTTGTCATGCAAGGGTCTGTAGAATGAGATCAGTCTCATGTTCTAGGGTTGTCCCCGACTGCTTTCTTATATATACCCATTTAATTTAATCACATGTGATTAAACTAGCTTTTTTTTTTTAGTACCGGGGATTGAACTCGGATCCTTGCGCCTGTGCAGCAGTTGGTGAAACCACTGAGCTAAATCCCCAGCCCATAGTATTTACAAACCAGACTGAGAGTCGTTTGTAAATGTGCAGTGAAATTTCTGAATCCAAGTTCTGCTTGTTGAAAAAGGTTTTTTATGCCTGTGGCTGGACTATGGCACTGATGAGATGCTGTTACTCACACTAACTGGTACAGTAGTTATGAAGTGGGACTTGGTGACATACTGAGATGTGTGGTCGCTCTGGCCGTGATCTCATCTCCAGGAGGTACTGAGCTTTGAGATGTATTTGATGGTGAGGAGGGCTCTGCCTCTGTGGGGGTAATTAGGTTCAGAGCAGTAGACAGCCTGGCACAAAGACACTTGATAAATACATCTTTGTTGAATGAATGGAAAACTGCCGAAGAGAAGATGTTGCTTGATAACATCTTGGTTTTTGCCCTATTGTCTATTCACTAACTTTATTATATGTCAGGTACTATGCCATCCATAGGAGATGAGCAAAGTACAGATAGCGCTTTGCATGGCATGTCCATTCATGGAGTAGCATATCTGATGGTATAAATTGAGCATGCATTTATGGAGCATTTGTTCTGTGCTCAGACTTGGTAGGTTCTTTTAGAAAGATTAGGCAGTTTTGACTCTCTAGGTTTTACATTCTGGGTAGGGAGGTACAACATGTGAACAAGAGCTCTAGAAAATAGCTCGGGATGGTTAGGGTGAAGGTTAGAGCTCATGGAAGATGTACAGAATGTATGCAAGGTCAGTAGAAGTCTGTAAGAAATCCTATGTGGCTAGGATTGGAAGATGTTCAATCAGTTTCTTGGCCTTAAAGTTGTGTCTCAGTCAGTGTGGTAGTGTACTCATGAGCTGCCATTGATGGCCCTCAGTGCTTTTATAAGCATGAACTTGAGAGGATTAAATGAAAGGTAGTCTATATTTTACTGTTTCATTAAAATCAGTCGACATTTTCTTTTTTAGCACTCAACAACAATTATGTCAAGTGATGAAAAGAGGCAATATTGACAGTACTTGAATGAATACCTTGTAGCTAAGTTAAAAATTATTTTCTCATGTGAAACAAAAAGTTAACTTACTAAAATTGTTTTTGTGATACTGGGGATCAGTCCAAGGACCTGTTTTATAATAGGCAGGCACTCTACCGTTGAGTTGTATTCTTGGCCTCTAAAAATAACTTAGATAAATAATTTTTAAAACTTTTTGCTGGGAAAATAAGTTTTAAATGTTTTGAAAAATTTGCTTATGTTGCTAGTATATAGTTATACCAATTAGTAATTTTATATATATTTGTTATATTTTAAATTAAAAGTTACTCAGTAAATACAATTATAGGTTAAATGCTAATAGCTTTAATATCTTGAATTTAACTTTTATACTTTTCTTTCTAGTTCTGAACCTATTATTGAATTTAAAAAGTAAGCTGTAGGGTCGGGGATTTAGCTCAGTGGTTTTGGCGCCTGCCTCGAAAGCACAAGGTTCCGAGTTCGATCCCTGGTACCAAAAAAAAAAAAAAAAAAAGTAAGCTGCACTTGTTATATGCATAAAACACATATATGTATGTATGTCTGTATCTGTGGGATTAAAATTTCTTGAGGAAGTACAATTAGGAGTAAAAATCTAAGAGACTCCTCAGGGCAGTGGCAATGAAAAAAGTTTTTCTCAGCTTTTTTTCATTGAGTAAGGAAAGAAGTAGTTTATGTAACAGATGTCTGTCATGGCCTGCTTTTTTATTTTTTTATTTTTTTGAGATAGGGGTCTTGCCATGTTCCCTCGGCTGGTCTTGAACTCATGGATGTAAGTGACCCTCTGGCCTCAGTGTCTGGACTAGCTAGGACTGCAGGCTTTGTCACTGCCTGTAACAGTAACAAGATAGTTACTGTCATTGAATATACAGTTTAGCAAAAGACAGTTACACAAGTAATGAGTTCCCTCTGGGGCAGGGTGCACTTCCTGTAGGAGGGCCACATGACTTAGGGTCCAAAACAGGGGACTGTGAGTCTGTGTGGTGCTTCCCGTAATGGTGACAGCACTGTAGGTGTGAAAAGGGTGGCTGCCCAGGCTAGTGTAGGGCTAGTCCAGAGTTTAAGGAGGAGATGTATTTGGAGTGGGTCTTGAAGGAGGATTGGGAGTGTGCTGGGCAGAGCACGTGGACGAGGAGCAGGCTTGGTGGCAGCTGGGGGTGGGCTGTGAGGGGGCAGAGCGAATAGCCCTGTGGGAAGGCAGCTTGAGGGCTGGTACTGAGAAGGCAGCATGGGCCGTGTGGCGCAGGGTCTAGGATTGATGCCTAGGAGTTTGGGTTTTCTCTGCTAAACAGTGGGAATCCAGAAAGTTTTTAACTAGACAAGTATGATTAGATTGTTCATTTTAGGAAGATAAATCTGGTGATGTTGATGTAGCCACTTTGTCAAGTTGGCAGCAGGTGTGGTGAGGGCCTAGTTGCATCAGTTCACGTGGGAGGTGATGAGGATTGAAATAGAGCAAAGGCTCTGGGGTTGAAGTAGAGAGTCTAGATTTGGAGAACTGTGAGAACGCAGAGAACGACGCGGTTCGATGGCTAGTCTCCTAGCTTTCGGGTCCATGGTGTAGGGAGGGAAGGAGAATCCCTGTAGTGGTAATTCTGGGTTCCTGAGTGACCACAGGTTTGGGTGGTGGTTATGTCAGCTAAGGAGGGACAGAAGGGTTAATCCTGTCCCCTTGGGTGGGTGCAGAGGACCGGGAGGAATGCAGGCGAGCAGAGTAACCCCTGTAGCTCCCTAGAGTTTTCTTACTGAGGGAACTCGGGTCACTATTGTATGAGAGTAAAGCTAGGAAGGATGTTTGTAAATTGGTAATGCAAACTAGTGGGGGGAAACAGCATCAGTTTACAGTTAGTCTCAACTCCAGCTCAGGAGTTAAAAACAGACAGTTTTGCTGAAATGTCCAGTCTTGAATTTCTTTTGAAATTGCATCTATTATTTTTGAATTTTTTTTGTGGTACTGTGGATTGCACCAAGCTATGTTCAAAGCCCTTTTTTAAATTTTTTTTTTTTGGTACCGAGGATCGAACTTGGGTCCTTGTGCTTGCACAGCAGTCAGGGAAACCACTGAGCTAAATCCCCAGCCCGCTTTTTTAAAATTTTGAGACAGGGTTTCATTACATTGTGAAATTGCCTCGGCTGGGCTCAAACTTGGTATTCTCCTGCCTCTGCCTCCTGTAGTGCTAGGGTTATAGGTATATGCCACCATGCCTGCCTCTCATTCTTGGGATATTATTTTCTCAGCAAAACTTTCACTTATGTTTTCTTCCCCTCCTCTTGTACCTAGATCTCCCCTTTCTTTGTTTGAAGTTGGGTAGAGTACTAGGCAGCTCTCAGGTCTGTGGTAGCTGTCTGTCACATCTCATTCCCTAATCACCTGCAGCTGAGTCTGACACATGGTGAGGCTTCTGGTTTCCGTCTGTGGACAGCCCCCGTTAATCTGCACTGCCAGTTTCCCAGCACCTCATCTTGACCCTGCCAGATCTGAATCTCATATACCAGTGGCCCATGCTCCAGGTGATGAGGAAACTCTCCGTGAGCCACTGAGGTTCTCTCAGGTGTTCTTTGCACCTGTGCGGCTTTCTGGGGTGGGAGGAGGCTTCCTGTTGCTCCCCCGCTCTGTCAGAACTTTCCACTTTTACCCTGTGTTCCCTCCTGATGCATCAAATCTGTTTTCACCCTGGGCCACTGTGACCACATGGCCACATTGGTGAGGACACCTCTCTAAAGGGACTGCTGGGCATTCATAGTGCCGTCATAGTCCTGAGCTGTTTATTTAGGGAAGTGTGTGTGCGTGTGGGTGTGTGTATGTGTAGTAAGCACTTTTTTGCTGTGTTTTCTGGACATAGCCCCTTGGCATTGCTCATATTATACTGACATATACTTAAGGGCAAAGTAGTTTAAAATATTCCAGTAAAATAGTACCTCGTCTATATTTGTTGGGTCTGATGGTAACTGGTATAGGAGAATGATTCA